ACGCTAAGGGGACCGTTTCCATGGCACCCTTTGCAAGCAGTGTTTTCACTTCGGCTCGGAGAACATCTGATTCGTTGTCCTGCACCAAAGTCTGCACAATACCTCTGAATACAGGCGACCTGCGAGCGAACTGGAGCGAGTAGCCTCGTTCTATGGTTTTTAGAACCCAATCTGACACGCCGGAAATGGCTCTCCAATCCAGCAGCCGGGTCGGCAAGAGGTTCTATTTTTATTAATGACATGTTGATGCTCGAAGGGGGAGAACTGGCATTTGTGAACATTTTTATCGAAGGCAGCCCGCCGCCCGCAGGGGGAGAGCTGACATTCGCAAATGTTTTTATGTTTATTAATGACAGCTCGCCGCCCGAAGGGGAAGAACTGACATGTGTGAGTGCAGGGAGAGGAGAAATGCTCTTTATTGTATTTGGGTCCGCTATCAAAGCGGTAGTTTGGGGCACACGCTGAACTGGCAGGACGTGCCCTGTTAAAAAACTCCAGCACTACGCTAGGGCGGGGGCCTTGACACTTCGGGAAGGGATACTTCCTGGCCCTTAGGGGGCGCTGTTGAAGCCAAGCCGAGTCCCTTAGGCAAGACCAGGGAATCAAGGAATTTTTTTTCAGCGTCCCTGATGTCCGTCAACTTTAGCCAAAGGTGGCGCTCCAGCACCACAAGACTAGCCATGGCCTTGCCTACTGCCTGCGTCGTCGCCTTGGTAGCGCGCAGGGCCAGATCTGTCGCCGTACGCAACTCCGTGAAGGCGCCCTGATCCCAGCCAGACTCGTCCATGTCACGGAGAAGTTTGGCCTGAAACACTTGCAGTACAGACATCGTATGCAGGGCTGAGCCGGCCTGGCTAGCCACTGCATAAGCCCCGTTGGCCGTCTCCTGCATGGCTTAGAAGGATGCACTGCAGTCTTCAGCCCGCGGCTCGTCGGCAGAAGAAGGTGTGCAGCCACCGCCTCCTCCAGAGGGGGGAGCTTGCAATACCCCTTTTCATCAGCGCCGTCAACGGTGGTGAGTGCCGCTGCAGTAGAGGGGTTCACATGCGCCGAATAAGGAGCCCGCCATGTTTTAGTGAGCTCTTCGTGGACTGCAGGCATAAAAGGAGCTGGACGCTGACGGAAGGAAGGCTGACGATGACCACTAGGGTTGGGTACTGAAACCCGGTACCAATATGGCACCGGTACCTATGTAACCGGTATGTACTAGAATCCGTTACTTCTGTGACTGGATTTGTGGATTTTCTGTGCGAGGGCGCCCTCTGCTGTCCAGTATGAATGAAACAGACATCATGTGTTTATAGTGCTAATGGCCAATCCATAATTTTTTGGGGAATTTTAATTTTTTAATTTTTTTAATAAGTATCGGTTCAGGCACCGTTTAGGGACCGTTTAGGCACCGGAACCGTGTTAAAAGTATCGATTTGGCACCGGTATCGAAAAAAAAACAAACAATACCCAACCCTACCGATCACACGAGGCCTAGTTCCTCCACAGCACGCGTGAGAACGCGGATCAGCTCCGAGTCTACACTAGGCCGCGTAGACTGAGATGGAGGGGGAGCTTCGGGCTCTTCACCGGAACATGGCTATCTCTTCCTCAGAAGCGCCGAAGGAAACCAGGCCGCTCGTGTCCGACGAGGGGCGCTGGTCCTCACATGCGAAACACACGGGCGACATGAGGCACTGCGGGGAGAGTGAAGTGCGCGGGCGCTGGGCCGACGCAACAACACTCGTGCCCGAGAGAGGAGACCCGCTGTTCCGCTGCTTCCTTCTCTTGGGAGAGAGAGGAGTTGGGGGAACTGAGCGGGGAGGACCGCCTTCATGGAAAAAGGCAATCCGCAAACGAAGACGGGCCTGGTTCATGTCCTCGCAGTGAGAACACAAAGCCTCTGTGAGTGCAGCCTCTGCGTGGGCCACTCCAAGACATGCGACACACTCCTCGTGACCATCTGCTGCACTTGCGAAGCGACATTTGAAACAAAGCACTTAGGAAATTTGCTCAGGAAATTTGCTCTTAGTCCTTCGCCGGATGGCCACAGGGGAAATAGTCCACTGCCGGTGGCTGGCTTCAATGGCGGGAGCGTAGAGCAGGTTGAGCTTCTAGCTTCGGCTTCGGCGCAGAGTCAGCGAAGAGATGGTCTCGTCGCTGAAGGAGAAGATTCTGATGAAATGGCGCTCTGGGCCGACTTATATAGCAGTTGGCTCCACCCCTTCTGGCGGGCTCGAGCGCCATTGTTTTGTGCAGCTACACAAACGTTAACAAATCAGGCTTCAGTAACAGAGTAAACAGGAGTTTCCCCATACAAGTCGTCAAAACGACGACGCAACGAGAGTTACCTTTCGATAGGGAACCACAGCAGGATCAACCATTGTGTCTCCGAGCAAGACAAAAAGGTTCTCTTTACTGAATGAATCGGTATGTTTGAACAAATTGTTTGATTCACTGACTCACTCATACAGACTGTCACCGCCTACTGGCTAAATGATGTAATCGTATGATTCACTGTAAATTCTGTCATTAATACACAGGTTATATATAATTAAATTACCTATATGTTCTTTCTTAATAATAATGGTGGAAAGGTTAAATTATTGCAATACAGACAGCTAACCCCAGCCTCTCATATCTAAGATGAAGTGATAAATCTATACCTTGGTTCTAGAATAGGGCAGGGATCTAAAAAACATACAAATAAACAAATGCATGAAAAATCTGTGCATTTACATATAGTTGTATAATGTAAAAATGTAAATCAACAACTCAAAATGACCCGTTAAAGGAATAGTTCACCCAAAAATGAAAATTTACTGAAAATGTACTCAAGTCATCAAAGATGTAGGAGAGGTCGTTTCTTCATCAGATTTTAAGAAATGTAGTATTGCATCACTTGCTCACCAATGGATCCTCTGCAGTGAATGGGTGCCATCAGAGTTGTATGGAAAAGTGAGGAACACAAAGCTAATGGCATATCAGAGAAGCAATGGGGAAACTGCTGGGTTTATATTTGCCAACAACAAGGGAATGTTTGTGGAGGACAGGAGCCCGGCCCCTGAAACACAATGCATGTGTACTGTCTGTTAACCACAGACCAGCAATACAGACTTTTAAAACAGTAACATTTTCATATGCTAGAGAATCTGACTTGAAAATACAGAAGATTGATGAAATATATTCCTTAAGGTATAATATACAGAGAATCAAAATGACTACAAAACACATTTGTCAGACATTCCACTGGTGTGTAAATACAGACAAGAACAGACAGTTAATGACATTGCACATGTGACACTTTCCACATTACGGTTTTTAAAACAATCTCTGAACAACTCTGCTTGAAATGTTCCTCTACAGACTGTGAGGGTAAGATGACCCTGGACTTTGACTTAAATTGGCCTAACACAAAAGTTACGACACCATTCTCTACAAAAATCACCATTACTCTAATGTACACTTAAGCCTGAAGAGTTAAATTCAACAGAGATTATATAATGACTGAATACCTCTGAAGAGACCTCATAATGTCTCTGATTGGCCACTTTCTCAGGCAGTGCATACTAACTTCTTGCACATGCTTCAAAAGATACACTGAACTCTTCCAACAATAGCTGGAAGCCTCCAGTAATGAGACCACATAAACTATGATGGCTCATTACTGAACAATATTACAACACATGAAATGTCATTAGGTCTTGCTATAGCAAGGGGTGGTCCTCTAACAGCCCTAAAACAAAACAAAGCCAAAGCAAATGTTTAACTTTTTAATATATTTAATCATTCTGCTTTCCTAGTTATATGCATTATTTACAGCTACTGTTGAGCCATCTCTAGTGCTTTACATAAATGGACAGCACAGTATGCATTTTTTATGCCCTCATAAAGGCAAACAAGGGCCCCTGAAAATCTGTTTGAGGTGGCAAATATTGTCCCTTAATTAAAAAGTGATTAAAATTTTTTGATAGTGATATATATGAAGTATGTTATTAATAACATTTTCTTACCGTTTGTTTTATGCAAACAAGCATGCCATTACTGCCCTTTACATAATGTAGTTGTTTTGTAGCACATCAAACTCACATTTTTTTCTTAATTTTACTGTTTATGATTTCTTCTGTCATGACTTGGTATGCCATTTTTTTTTTTTGCCTTTAATTTGATAGGACAGTGTAGAGAGGACAGAAAGAGAAGTGGGAGATGGGATCGGGAAAGGTCTGTGAGCTGGGACTCGAACTCGGGACGCCCAAAGAGCAACGGTGCTGTATGTTGTCGCACTGCCCACGAGGCTATTGGCGCCAATGTCAGTGTTCTTCTTCTTCTTATTATTATTCCACTCTAGAGTCTATGGCAGCCCATAGAACTGCTTGCAGAAAAGTTATGAAATTTGGCACACAGATAGAGGACAGTCTCAACATTAAAGGGATAGTTCACCCAAAAATGAAAATTCTGTCAATAATTACTCACCCTCATGTCGTTCCAAACTTGTAAGACCTTCGTTCGTTTTCGGAACACAAATTAAGATTTTTTTGTATAAAATCCGAGAGCTTTCTGACCCTCCATAGACAGCAAGGGATTTACCACTGTCAAGGCACAGAAACGCAGTAAGAATATCGGAAAAACAGTCCTTGTGACATCAGTGGTTCAACCGTAATTTTATGAAGCTACGAGAATACTTGCGAACACCCTAGCGCCATTACGGAGGACCTTCGTTCGTTTTCGGAACACAAATTAAGATTTTTCTGTGCCTTGCTGGTCAGAAAGCTCTCGGATTTCATCTAAAATATCTTGATTTGTGTTTCGAAGATGAACGAAGGTCTTAGGGGTTTGGAACGACATGAGGGTGCGTAATTAATGAGAGAATTTTCATTTTTGGGCGAATTATCACTTTAACCATAGCATAGAACATTTGGAGTCTCTAATACCGAGTTCACACTGCATGATTTTAACCCCGATTTTCACTCGTTGACAGGCTTTGCGAAATCGCCGACAAATGGCTGAAATCGGAGGCAAATCGGTGCTCATTCACGCGAGTGACAATTACTCAGTGTGAATTATCAAAGATGCGATCTGAGAGAATCGCTGACACGTCTCCGATGCCCGTGAAATAGTTGGCATGCTAAATATCTGGACCTGTCAGTGATTCAAAGTCCTGCTGTGTGAAATGAGATCTGACTGAAAATACTTCGGTGATGACCTACAGCCAATGAGAGAGCAAGATACAGGGCAGCGGGAAGTTTGGGGAGGAGTTAGTTTGCGGACCAGACAGAGTTGTCGGCGATTCATCCTATTGTAAAGTCATGCAGTGTGTAACCATCTGTCGGCGATCCATCGCGCAATGTGAACGCAGCAGCAACTGAATGCTACCCCAGATAGTCGTGCAGTGTGAAAACAAAGGTGATCCGACGACTTTGAAAATCGTATAGTGTGAACTCGGCATAACTCAAACCCTCTAGTGCCATTAACAGCTCAAAGTTGCACTCATGTTTATACTAATAACATTTGAACTGTAAAGTTTAGAAGCAAAATGAATGATGTAGTTCTGCACAGGCCCCTCCCACGATAGTTGATTGACAAGGCCGTCTTACCTTAGACCCGTCCCTGAGTGAGCTGTGAGCTGTCCGCCATTGTGTCGACTCCGGTTCAGGGGAAGACAAGAATGTCTCCGATTAAGAGATTGAGGTGTTTTGTTGTTCATGTAATAATGAACATGGCAATCATCATTTACTCCTGACATCTGAGCCGCTGAAGACGCGCTGAGTATAAGGGATTTTTATGAAACTTTGCAAATCACCTTTCCTATTAATGTGCTAGTTAGCAAGTTTCGCGGCTAAAGTTTACAGTCTGCTCATCACCCCACGGAAGAGAGGGGGGGTGAGCAGAGCTCATTAGCATTTAAAGCGAAATGCAACAAAACGGCTTGCTTTGAAAATAGCTGTTTTTGACAGGGTAAAAAGGGTGTTTTTACACTACCATTGAGAAATTTTAACCAAAGTATGTTATATACTTTTCATTAAGACCCTAAAGAATCATATCAACTTGTGAAAAATGGGCATTCGATTACCCCTTTAAAGATCTTGTCTGTTTTTCACCAAATTCAGCTTCAAATTCTTCTTCAGATTGTGCCGACAAAATGTTATGGATTTCATGCTGATAGACAAAACCATTTTTTGTATATTGATCACATGATACCAAACTGCATCTCTGCAAAGCTTTGGCATATTCACATCAATCTTTGGGTCATTGTCACCTCACACTGATCACACCACATTCATTTGGTAATAACTCCACCTATTGGTCAAAAGTGATTAAACATTAATAATGAAATAAAAAAATGCTAATAGCTTAGAAACAGTTTTGCCTCTGCCACCTATTGGTCAAAATTGATAAACCATTAAATCATTAATAATGACTGAATTTATGATTTTTCAGCCAGTTTGAGTAAAATCAACATAAAATATCGTTAATACTCATTGTTGCCTTTGGTCTTATCCTCCCTGCCATGGTTGCTCCTCATTCTCTGCTGTGCTTGGCCACTTAATTGCTGCATGCTGCTATATTTCATTTCCATTTCCACTGAAGAGAACTTTAAATTAAATACAGCAGCTAGCTATTTAAATTTGTTATAACCATTATCTAGTAACAGATGGCACGAATTTTGATAAAAGTAATTTATTATGAAAAATAATAGTCACATGATATATATTTAGAATGTTGGGATTGTTCATTTTATCTGTAGGCCTATTCATCAGCATATCAGAAATACAGTTTTACAAAATTCATCTTTAATAAACTTGATTATTTGGTATATCACTTAATTTGGCACATAATTCATCATCCCTGTCCTTAATACAGAACAATGCATAATACTTTACTGACTCAGTACCACAATTCAACATATGACTTCACCTTTGAGACTTCAGTTTAATTTTGCTCATTTTCTGAATGAAGCAAACAATAAAGTTCTTTAGTAACCATGCATTTTAAATGAATCAGCATCAATATCATATTTGGTTCAACTTCTTTGTTAAACACAAAAAAGTAGTTATAACAGGTGAGGTCAGAAAGAAGTATGCAGTCACCAATGCAGTTCATTAAACATAGCTTATTTTACATTTCTTACAATATCAATATTACGATGAGTTTCATTTTAAATTCAACATTTCATATTGTAATCTTTTTGAGATTGATTGAGATTTGATGATTCTAATTCAAATGTAACCCAAGCTACAGTCTTGATGCAGAGGAAATTGCTGAGAAACTGCAAACTAAAGAATCTTATATAAACTTTGCATGTGTCAAAAGAATAGGTGTTAATGCACATTATATTCAGACCCTTTTCAAAAAAACTGATTTCCTACGACCTGCAAACAAGTTAAACTGATTTTACATTGTGTCTCATTTTTTTTATAGCATCAACAGTAACAGTAAAAAACAACAACAGTCATATTAAAAATTTGTGAACACTGCCTGAAAACATGTCACATCAGCCACTATTTGTGCTAATTCAATGACAAATCACATTACGAAAGTATCAAACACATATTTGATCTGAGAACTTTTACATTATTTTGCACATTATATTATCAATGCAACTAGTTTGTTTGTTTAAAGTGCCCCTATTATGCCATTTCCAATATTGCCTTTCATGCAGTGTTTAATGTAGCTGTATGTGAATGTAAACAATCTGCAAAGTTATAAAGCCGAAAGTGCATGAATGCAGTGTTTAATGTAGCTGTATCATGTGAATGTAAACGATCTGCAAAGTTGTAAAGCTGAAATTGCACGATAAATAAGGTTACTGTCTCCCAAAATAAAGAATCGACTCTGAACAGCTGAAACGAGTCGTTAGTAATGTCCACTCCGTCCAGCTATTTTTAGCTGAACAAAACAGTTAATGTTGCTGCTTGATATTTAAAGTTGGTGTGTCTTATCATATTATTTTAATGTATTATCTTAATTATGAACACACTGGTTTGTAGTGCAAACTGTTTCGAGGTCAGGGATCTTGGGCCTAAAAAGGTTGGTGACCACTCACAACAGACTAGGCCATCTGACCAATCAGAGCAGAGCAGGCTCACGGAAAGGAGGGGTTTAGAGAGACTGAATATTTGAACGGCTTCGAATGAATTGTTTGAGAATCGCTGGAAAATTAGGTGATATTAAATGCATATTTTGAGAGCACGAAAGCGTTTTTTGACCTTGCATACATGTAATCCTATTGTAAGAGACTCCCAAAACAATATTAGGAACTAGAGATGCACCGATCGATCGGCCAGGGATCGGAATCGGCCTGTTTTCCTCATGATCGGCCCGGATCGGTGATCGGCTGGTCAGTCTCACTTCTTTCCGATTCTGAGCCGATCCGTTTTGTTACCAGCGGCACAGGCAATAACGTCAGCCGCGCATTCTCACTGTCTTCTCTCCGGCGACCTCTTCTCTGTCACACACGTCCCATTCGCTCCGGTTACGTAACGACGCATTACTTTTCATAAAAAGTAACTAACGCAGTTACTTTTTTTTTAAAGAGTAACGCAATATTGTAACGCATTACTTTTAAAAGTAAAACTTATACCGTTTTACTGGTTCCCAGTAATAGTTTAAACTGATAAATGGCGGATTTTTACCAGTGTTGCCAACTAATTTTCAGTGGAAGTTGCTAAAGTGTTGTGATGACATTGCGTGATGACGTCATTACGTAATCACGATGCAAAATTGTCAAATCTCAGCAAAAACATATATATTTTATATATGTTAATTTAGATTTGTTCGTAGCAATATAAATGCATAATATAATATTAAAATATAAATAACTATTTTTAAATCCATTGAATTATCGAAAACGTACACATTTTTGAACGATTACAATTTAAGTTTTATACTTTAAAGCAGTTTATTAGTAGTTAGTTAGTATGCTGCACTCTAAGAAAAGTAAAAAATAAATGCACAATCTACTGTTAATATGAAGGAATTTTCTGGATTAATTTTTCTACAGGTTTTTGTACCTGCATTTTTAATTACGCATTGTATTTTGTGTTTTCGGGTTATAACGCTGCAGTCTGTAACTTTTTTTGGTTCAAAATGATCTGAAATCAATATTTGAGAAAGTACATAACCAGTCATTGTTCAATTGTTCAAAACTTACTTCAGCCTGATTCACAATGGTTAGCAACGGATAATGTTTTCTAATTTGAGTGGTAGGGGTAGGTTTTCGCGGGCTATGTGTTTATGAAACACGTCAATTAAATTAAATGATATTCCTGTTATAAATGATTACAGGTGATTGATTAAATGATGATCTGATTACAGATAGCCTGGGATTACAAAGATTTGTATTTGAAAGAAAACCAGTTCGAATGGAGTATAATTTGCTTTTTGGGTTAAAAGAATTTCTTAATATGAAATTCGAAGAGTATGACAATTAGATTAGACTG